GATTGGTTGCACCACAAATCTGCTGTAGATTCTGTCTGCTCCCGTTTTGATAAATTCCCCCCCTATGTTTTACTATTTTTTCATTTGTCTTTCTTACATAAATATTTAGATTACAATATATATCAGGAAATGATCATTTCATCACATCTACATTACCTGATTTTGATTATCTAGTGCATTGAGAGCTAAAAAGCCGCAAAGACAGCCATTGGGTGACCATGCAATATGGTTCATGTCACACAACCTGCAAGCAACAGAATCGCTAAGAGCTTTCTCAGCTTCTATAGTGTCATTCCCTTGCAAGCCAAAGCAGTGAGATGTTACTCTGTTTCTGCTCCCTTGCTAGCTAGCGAGATTCTGTTCATGCCAGCAAGGGAGCTACTTCCATTGTCTACAGTGGCACATAATTCATATCCAGTCATGTCAATGCAGAAAGAGTCTAATAAATATTCTAAATAGAGAAACTTCTGTCCCATTCAACTTTGCATGGCAGTAGAATCCTGATTTTTGTTTGTTTTTCCATAGTGGTTGAGCACAATATCTACCTCGAATGCAGAAGATCAAAAAGCCAAGTGCTAGGGTGCTTGAGATAAATTAGGCGGGGGTCAGAGGCTACAGCATGCAGCTTCACAAGATTGTCTACCCCTGCATTTGCAGCTCATTCATGCTGAAGTGATGCACTCTGGGAATAACGAGCAAAGCGCGCCCGGCAACATCTGCTCCTCCTAAGTGAGTTAGTGCACGTCAGACATCTTTATGTCAGAATTTCCTCCGTGATGGATGCAGTCTTCAGAAAATGCTGCATAAAAATCTGCTGTGCCGTTCTGGCTATTAAGTGAAATTACTATTTAAATTAATGGCGCTGTCACAGTTTATCTGTGCAAAGAATGAGCGCTGATTAGGGTATTAAGTAATTAGCAATTTATCACGCTGGAACAAGGTTGATAATAATTAAAAAAGTAATGGTTTACTAAAGATACTAGAAAGGGAGTCACTTTGTGTTATGTGACTGAATTCTTGGCTGAAATTTCCGTTTCTGTCAAAGACAGAATTTTACGCGCTAGGCCGCATCTTATTATGTTTTCTCTTTTCCCAAGCTGGAAACGTTCATTATGAAAATTTAGGTTGGCCTGTCACAAGTCCCTTAAAGCGATCAGGATTGGGGTTGAGTATTTCAAAATAGGTCACACTTTGCAGGAGATGCCTTGCTTGTAACAACCTAACGGGCGTATTTGCTGAGTTGACACATTGACATAGTGGTCTAACACTTTCCGCATCACTATTCAGAGAACATTGGCCATTTATGGTGGTCCCGGCTCCCCACTTTGCCCAGCTCCTTGAAGCAGCTTAGGATCTATTGTCTGTTCAATACACAAGCGCCACTGTTGGATACAAGCCAATTAAAGTGGTACAAATATTTGAAAAAATTAATCTTTTTGCAAAACAAAAACTCGTAATTATGTTTTAATGTGTTTGCCATTATGTCTCAGGCTCCTTTTAGATGGGCATTCTGATCAGGTCAACCAGTCAGTTTTTCAGGAGAATTTGATCAGAAGCCCAATGTTATTCTATAGGCAGCCGGATCTAAACGGATATGATCCGTTTACATCCGATTACCCCTGACTCTTTGCAAGTCAGGAAAACAAAAAAGAACGTGGCGGATCGGGCGCGGGGTAATCTGATGTAAATGGACACTTGTCTGTTTACATCCAACTCCCCATAAACTTAACATAGGTCCGTTAAGTTCAGTTTTTACTCCATCATAAGATAGAGGAAACAAATGGTAGACATGGATGTCAAAATGGTGACATCTGTTCCATACTGCTCCGATGAGCAAGGGATCCATGCCCGGTTCCACTGCTGATCAGAACTGACAGACACCCATTTAAAAGGGTATTTTTAATTAAATTCTAGTTTGTGAATCTATTGCAAAGTTTCTTACCTGAATATCCTTCCAGTAACAGCACTTCCTGTTGCAGGGTGACAACGCTAAGCTGCCACCTTGCAGTTATCAGCAGCATCGTCAGCCTGCTGTGCGGGTTTCTTCACTTGGCAGTTGGCCTGCTTATTTTATAGACCTGAACGGCCAACTGAAGGAGCTCACACGGCAGGCTGATAGTGCTTCTTCTAATTGAGAGATTGATTCTTAGGGGTCTATGCACGAAGCTGCCGAGGGGCAGCCGAGTGAGTGACCGATCTGAAGTGAAGTGAGCCGAACGCTGTTCGGCTATTCACTTCAGGCTGGTACGGCTAATTTCAGCCGTACGTCGGCTGAAATCAGCCGTACATCGGCTGAAATCAGCCGTACATCGGCTTGCTTCGTGTGGCTTCGGGTTGGCCGAACATGCTCAGCATGTTCGGCCGACCCGAAGTACAGAAGGAGTTCGACTCCGGCAGGCTACTCACTGCTGTTCGGGCTATTCTTAAAGATCCCGAACAGCAGTGAGTGAATAGCCGAATGCCGCCGAGCGGCATTCGGCTCGGCTGTTCTGCTCGGTCCCTCAGAGGTACCGAGCAGAACAGAAAAACAGTGAAAAACGTTAAAAAAGTAAATAGCAAATGATTGTGCGGAGCTAGCAGTGACAGCTAGCTCCGCCCAATAGTTTCCTATTGCTCGGCGGCTCTGCTGCTGTCGAAAAAAAAACGAAAAAAAAACCTCTCCCGGGCGCTCTGGGAGCCTCCCGCTCCCGGCCGCCCAGGAGAGAAGCACTGATGTGTCTTTTTTTTTTTCTTTATTCTGACACGGAGCGATGTCAGAATAGAAAAAAAAAAGAATTTTTCCCATTGAAAAGCATTGGGACATTACTATTGGCTATTTCAATTTGCAATAGCCAATAGTAAACTAGCATTGTTCCTGCCCTCTGCTGATGGACCTGATGTGGAACTGCAGCAGAGGGTGGGTACAATGCTAGTTTACTATT